AGAAGAAGAAGAAGAAGAAGAAGAGGAAGAGGAAGAGGAAGAAGAAGGAAAAAAAGAAGGAAAAAAGAAGAAGAAAACGAAAAGAAAAGTTTTCAGTTATTTATTCAAATAGATATAGTGCTGATAATCAAAAGCAAATATCCATTCCCACTTTTATTCCATGCTTCCATCCGGCGGATATTTAGTCAAAGTTATTCTTAATTAAAAGCCAATCCAATGTTCGTAGATCTCATGCAGAGAGCAGGCTTCCTTACAGCATTCTTCGTGTAAGTCTCGGCGATTCTTGGGCTGGTAGAAGGCGTTGGCATCTTGCACTGAAATTCAAATAAAATCATTGACTAAGAAAGTCTGAAATCCGTTCTAGAAAGCCTTTAAAAGGGCTTTATAATTAATGGCGTTGATTCACCTAAAGTTATCTTGTCCACAAAATTATTTATTTCCAGTTCCCTAATCAAACCGCGAGTAAAGAACCGGATAGAAAGGAAATGAAAAGATGGTTGCCGTCCTCGCAACGAAGCACAATGCAGTGCAATTTAATTAGCGCGTTCGTCCAAATAATTGGACCTGCGTAAACATTAAATTTTTCTTAAGAGGCGATAAGGAACTTATATCTTATGTCATAAAGTTCGTTCGTTAATTTCCAAATGGCTGTTCCCTTTACGATGAATAGGACTTTAGAGCAATATTGAGAGAAGGATTTTTAATTTATCTTTAGAACTAATTAACACGTTAAAGGAACAAAATTTTTTTGTCATCTTCAGCAGATATTTGATATGAGTTAACCTGAGATCTTAAAAAACTCAAAACTGAATTGAAAACTTAACAGACTCACTCATTTCAAAAGCTTCATCATAAACAACAGATTTTACTCAAAAATGAAGATAATGTACACTTAATATTTCATGAGGACAAAACTTTTGTTGACAAAGTAAATCGTTACCCAATAGCGTGGTTTGACTGTTACATCCTTCTTAACGAAATACGAATATTTTCAAGCAGTATTATTTTTATTTTTTCATGAAATTTTTTTAACGGCAAATGCGTGAAAGACCGCTGTTTCATTTGGCATTTTGAGTCACTTGCGATGAGTGTGTGTATTTTTTGAAGCAGTTGTAGGTGTGAGCTGGATGAAACACTCTTTCTCGTATTTTTATTTTTACATAACAAATTCTCCCCTTGTTTATTGAATGCAGTTCGCGCCTAGATTCAGAATTTCCTACACCAGTTAGTTTTTGCCCGAGAGTGAACTAAGGAATGCCGCCAGCACTAGCCTCTTTATTTTCACTAATTTCTGTTTCTATGGTTACCTTGCACGCCTTCAGCACCTCTGCGCTGTCTCCCCGGTAAACCAGTGTGTGGTTTACAAATCAACTTGTGCATTCGATTGAGTTGATCACCGCACAATCTATGCCGGTGTCTTCTCTGAGCAAAGGTCGAAGCAACCAATACAGCGACAACAAGGAAGGACAAGACAAGGATCGAAGTAGACTTCATCTAAAACAAAATTAAAATAGAACTTCCTTATGAGTGTTGCATTCCCGGCCCACATAGACTAATTGCCTTCAAATTTATCGACGGGGACCGGTGCAATACCACTGATTACGTCACCTAAAGAGTTACGTGCATTAATTTTTCCGACTATCTGGGATCAATGAACAGTGAGATTGCTAGTGAGATTTTCTCCATCTAAATCAGTGCCTCTTATTGTTTCCTTCAAGGTCATGAGATGTATATAGTAGACCTTTGTGTTTGGGAGACTAAATTAATCATGAAGAGCGAAAACTGAAAAAATAGTCAAYACTATCCCAAAAGCTTGCAACAGCTTTAACAGCTTAAAAGATACTTCAGTATAAATATGACCACCGGAATGTTCAAGTTGTCAGTTTTCTCAGGCTAGCGACAGGCTGCCGATTGTTCGGATTAAACTGTAGCTACGTTTACACCAGTATGCCAAAAAACTCTCTAAGTTATACTTAGCTACTAGAACAGCTATGATCACCATAACTAGCCAGAATACTTGAATCTCTGCGCCCTGAGAAGGGGTTTGTATGAAGGTAGAGTTTTATGTTTTCCCATAGTTTTATAGAGCAGAAGTAACTTTTCCTTCTCTGTGCACGGTCAACGTCATATAACAATGAATAAAGTCGAACAAAAACCTAGAAAAGTAGGATTTCCAACCATTCCGCTCCATTAACTATGGCTTTCCCATCTCCCGGGTCACACCCATAACAAGCTAACCCTCCGTAGCAATAGTGAGCAAAGATATTGACWTTTCGGGATAGAAAACTAACGTGTAAATCAAGTGGAACAAATTTTCCCTGAACAGTACAGCAAACGCAATTAATTTAAAGCGATAAATTTGCTCTCGAAAAAAATTGGAAGGAATTTGAAAAAAAGGGTGTTGACCTGATGCGAATACGCACTAATAAATGCTATGAGGACAACAATAATTCTGCAATATTATATCCTGTTTTGAAAAGACGTTCCTTTTTTGTTATAGCAAAATCTATTCCTTCATTACAAAGCCTTTGTCCGCTAGCATTATAAAATCGCTATTATCCTAAAAGCTTCTAAACTTAAAAAGTTCAAAATTTCTCAGAACGTGAGCCGAACTAACGTGTGGGATGATATCAATAACGATCTCTTACCTTCACACTTCAAATATAGCCAGTCATGAGCAATTGAGCGACCACCACRAAATGAATCCCAATTTGTAACATTTTAGGGTCATTATGTCATTAGTAATCTTTTGTTTACGCTAATGAAGAATCGAACGTTCATTTCCGTTAAGCACTAGGATTCTATATGCTTCTTTAACTTTGTCCTCGGTTCCGGAGGATGTACACTTATCAATATTGGACTTGATTTAGTTTCTAAAATAAACAGTGTTTCACTTTGTGAAAGTATATTTCTTTCCGGTAATGATAATAACATTCTCGAAATCAAAATTTTATAAATCGGTTCTTCATAAAACGAGAATATAACGACGCAAAAGGGTTATGGAGGCATACACAGTTTTCAAATTTATTTACAGCCAGCTCCAAATGTTTAGTTTATATTTCATAGTGTATTGAAATCAAAAGAATAAGATCTAGTTATAATCCATCATAATGTTAACAAAGCATGATTGGGACTGATTGGGAATATACTTCCTAATTGCGTACAGTCCTGAGTAAAATCTTACTAAATCTGGATAAACAATAAACAATAATAAGGATTGACCGAGTAGTATTTAACAACTGATTCAATTTTTGCTAGCTTCTTAATGAAGGCAAAAAGTAAAAAAGCATTACACGAAAAATAAATGGCCGCCATGATGGATGCTGTTCGGATGAAAAATGGAAAAATTTCATGCTGTTTGAAACTTGAATGTGAAATAAATTCATCCGACGAAACCTTTTGATCAACTCGTGGTGTTAACGAGTGCACAGCGCAAGGAATACTTTTCTATTCATTCCTGGCAGTGATTCGCATTTCCATTCTCTTTCTTTCGACTTTTTTCAAGCTTCATAAGTTTTAAAATGCTATAAAGCATAATCCCAATTCTTGTGCATGTTTCGAGCGCAATACCAAATGTTGGTACTAAAATAACAGATACATCATTTATAACAGATAGTTATGGGTCATCGATGGCGAACGATTAATTGATTCTCAATGTCTTCGCCTAATTCCTTGCCAGGATATCCAAAACTTAGGATCACGCTCGGACGAATAAATATAGCACTCTTATTTCATAAATTCAATGAACGGAGATTATATGGACATCCTTGTATTTCGAAACCATAAGCAGAAACTAAAGTTTGTGAAGCAGGAAATCACTCGATAATTCAAAATCATAACCAATCGAACATACTAGCAATAACACAGGAAACCCAACATGAGCCTGGTAAACCTGTGACGGAAGGCTGTAGCTGTAATCAAGTTAGAAAGCATGGCGGACTTAAGGAAGCCGGCGCGGATTTTGGAATAGTAAGGAATTTTCCAGTTCTAAAAAATTGCAGCAGTACAAGTCAAACCTCTCGTATAAATAACGTTGAACCAACGTTTTGGCTGCCAAAAGTCAGAGCACCGTTACATTTACATTTACCAGTTAGGWCATTCGCTCAATACTGAGCATTTTAGACCACGCTATAAATGGTTAACTCACAGATCGAATTAGGTTTTAGCATGTTAGGTTTTGCGGAGGGAGGAAAACCAGGAAACCCTGAGAAAAACCCCTGAATCAAGGGAGAGACCCAACAAAACTCTACCCACATGTCATGCCGAATCCAGGGGTGTGAGGTGTACGTGATGTGTGAGGTGAGTCACTCGTGATGCTTTATAAATTGTCACATGAAAATTGTCATATGAAAAACCCCCTGAATCAAGGGAAAGACCCAACAAAACTCTACCCACATGTCATGCCGAATCAAGGAATCGAATTCGAGACCCCAGAGGTGTGAGGTGTACGTGATCATGTGAGTTGAGTCACTCGTGATGGTTTATAAATTGTCACCTTAGTCTCCGCCGTCACTGCAAAACTGAGTGTCATCAAGCCTRGCGAAAAWTGATCAGCGAAAAATAAAAACATGCCCGCCATTGAAACAAAAAGATTTTTGGTGAAAACTTTGATCCGATTTCAGTATTACCACCATGGTTTACAAGGAGGATTTGGTACATGCGCAAATGTTTTTTTATGCGCATCTTAACGATTCATTCTTCCTTAAAGGCGTGGAATCGATCGACGGACCGAAGTCAGAAAAATTTACTCTGAATCTTTGCTTTTCTAGCTACGTTATGGACTAGCAATATATTTAAGATTCTATCTATTCTTATAACGAATACCTATGGGTCAAATGGTGCATCGTTGTTTTATTTCTGTAATGAAATTATCGTGAAATGGTAGCTCTTTTTTCGCCGATAAACRACTGAAACTAGGACCGCCTGATCAACTACAACGATCCTTTGCGCGCGTTCCCCGAGGTYACTTGGTTAATGTCAACAGAGAATCGAATATCGGATAGTTATTGGATATTTAGTATATCTAGTATCTAATGGGGTATCTAAAAGATACGGAAAATATGTTACTCAGGTCCCGCATGTAGTTTGTACGAAAAATACGAGTGGCGTATTTCTCCGTAAAACACTTATGCCTATATAATAAAAGGAAACGCCACTCGCATTTTCATAAGAACTATATCCGGGACCTCAGTCATATTTTTCCATATCCTCACTAGTAGTGAAGATATCGATGACGTCTTTCCCAATGTTTTCAGCAAGTTTTTGTTTGTAAATGTGTGTATATGATAAAAAGAAATTACACGTTGGCTTGAAGACTGATATAAAGTTTATCTTCTCGTGTTGAAAAAACATTTCACTCCTTTCAGCGCGCTCACTCGAGAAATATTATCACCACTCCAAGATAAACTTCATATCTTCGCGCCACCTTATAACATCCTCTATGTATCTATTAATAACTATTGGATTTTTGAATATTCGGTTGATACCGCGCCTAACTCCCTTCTCGATACTATTAGCATCACGTTTACAGGTTGATATTGATATATGGAAACGCGACTTCCAATGCGACTCCTAACTCGATAGCGCATGCCACTTTGGGAGTCGTCCACAATTATCTATCATACTTTTTTTTTTCTTTTTACTCAAACTGTTTAATTAACTGTCTAATTACCCTTATTTACTTTGTATTTACAACTGTTTATTAATCAGTGGAAAATTAAAAAAAAAAGAAAAATGAATTGTCCCATAGTTTTCTATGTTTCTTTGTTTTTTGTTTTTTTTTTTAATATTAGAAATGATGATTAGACAATATAAGTAAAAACATGGCCAAACAAATGACAAACTTGACAACGACCAACTAGTTCTTCACCAGAACGAAATTATTGCTTAATCTGTACCCAAACTGTTTAGTACGATCTGAACAACTTCTCTCTAAAAATAACTAAAAAACACCGCGCCTCACATACAAACAATACGAAATTAWAATCAACTTTCAGCAGAAGTCACTTTAATCATGATGATACATTAAATCTGGCTCAATTTGGCACCTTGGGGAGGAAACCGYTATGAATGATTGGAAGAGAAAGACTAAACGAAGATGATTATTCTCCAAGACAGAGCAGAAATTTTTTTTGAATTTAGATAAACATCTAGAGGCACGAATTGTTTACAAGAGATCAGTGCGTTAGATTTAACTGGTGTCAAGCAGACTACAGCAGCTAACAAGTAAGGCTTTCGAAGCATGAAGTTAAGGTCATTTTATTTCCTATATTGATTTCCGTGTTTCCCTATACGAATTGTCAGAAGAGCCCCATTGATCCAAGACTGATTCCTTGTGGCTTTTAGAAGCATTGTTTCTTAAATTATTTGATCTCACCTTCAATGCTTTGCTTTTGTACCTTTGTCTTTCGTCTTCCGTCGTTAATTTTCCTTAAGGTCAGCCGAATCACATAAATAAGCCCTCAGTTGAGATGATTCCAGTCACATAGTGGTCAAGAAAACCAGCCTCCAAACATCTTTGATTTCTTCCTAAAGAGGTAAGAACAAGTTAGCACATAATCTACTTTTACTTCTTCGTCTTATTTCTTATCTAGCCAACCGGGAAAAATTTTCCCCCTAAAAAAAACTAAAAAGGCCGTTAAAAAGACAGGCCCATCTTCCTTTTATGTGTGAACTAAACTAGTTACCTCTCCAGATACTGCATCATTCAATAAATCTGTCTAATTTTTTTATGTTACATCGTGATACGGGGAGTGGTTACCGAGTCTCCCTAGTCAGAAGATAATTTTGAAGTATACGACCTTCACGCTAATTACGACTACATTTAATGTTTTAAGCACACAACTCTAAACTCACTTGTTGACTTTTGAGGAGGGTGGAAGACCTGACAACCCGGAGAAAACCCCTCGTGGTAAGGTAGAGAAAACCTACCGAATATACAAAATGTTTTCAGATTTGTTTTTCTGTCARCGGGTAAGTCATATTTCGCAAAACTATGGCAAGACAAAAGAGAACATCGAAGACTCTTCGCTATTGCACGATCTTTGTTCTTGTTTTGAACTATTTATACCTATTTCCGCCGTTTTTCTAAGAGAGGGCATACAGATTGATGAAAAGAAAAGCATCCTTTCATTTGCGCCGATAGATCTCACTTTTGTTTGTTAAAGAAAAAGTGCCGGACTCACTCGCAAACTGTGCGCAACCCCTGATTTCATTTTAGTCAATTGTTTGTTGCGCGGCGTATGTCGCTGTGCAAATAGATACAAGGGATATTCTCAACTAGCGATTCCTCTCACATTATTTGGTTGCCAACATGGTCTCTAAGAGTCAAACATTTARTATTTGAGGCCATCAGCACTGCGCTTCCCTTTGATTCACATTTATTTAGTCTAGGTAAAGGCATCGATGTGGTATGGYGTGTTAAGACAAAATTGCCTTTTTTTGAAAAAAGGAGACGAGTTTCAGAAAAAACAAAGATATTAAGAATCATGCAGAGATGGTCTAACTTCCCTTCCTGTTATTGCTGATTTTGAGGACACAGGATAAATGCGTTTACTTATAATGTGTTTTGCCGCCACAGATTGAGCTATTTTGCATATGAATACACGGCTAATCAGAATSAAAGGCATCTTACACTGAAACACTGACTTCTGTTTGAACCTGGTAACTTGTTTTGCTGCGAACCCCTGTTTTGCAGCGGTTTTGAAAACTGATTTTAATCATGAAGTTTGAATTTTTTTAAGGCCCTGACAAACGATCCTGAAAATCGCCTAACATTCAACCGAACTTTATATGTGGAGCGGCAGTACTGCAATCTGGTGTGTCGTCGGTTCTTCTAAAGTTAGTTCCRGTGTTGTAACAGTAGCCTAGCTACAGCCTTTCATCATCGAATTGCGTCCCAATATCACAGGTTTGTAGTAATTGTAATGTGTTTTTATATCTAAGTTTTTAGCACTACTTTAAGAAGGTTTACTTTTAATTAGTGACTGATTTTACCAGTCGAGACTAGTAACTTAAGCGTCATTAGTATTGAACATGCAAATTGTAAATAACCGTTGAATTTAATCAACTGTCAAGCAAGCTTTTTAGGACCTTTTAAAGCCAAATATCTCAAAAAAGTTTGGTTATGCCGAATGGAGAATTCCATAGCAGCTAGCAACAAAAACTTTGCAGTCCTGCAGTTTGTTTATCCCAAGAAGCGCTTTGGGGAAAAGGTTACAATGAGTCTTTTGTTAAAAACATTGATTTGGGCATATAATTTCTCTAGCATCTGTTGCCCAATTAAAAAGAATAGGCATTCCAAAATTATTGAAAGTATTTTCTTCAACGACTTTTCAAGCAACTCGCATAAAAAATCAATAAACGCCAAATCAGTTGTCGCAGACGTTAGACTAAAATAATTCACTCTCGTACAAAAAGATGAAAACGTTACGCGATAACGAAACCTACGACAGAGAAGCACTGAAGCGATAGTGCCTCTTCAATCAAGAGAACGGAAATTTAACTTGATCGTATTTTTCCAAATAAGGTTTTTCATTAACACCTACAAATCTGACACTGACTTCATAAAATTTTAGGTGATTTATTTTTAATATTCAATCCCTTTTTTTTACGCCCACCTACATATATTTTCAACTCTGTCACTATAGTTAATGATTTTTTCACTCGTTCATGCTGAGCTTAATAATTGGGATGAAGGARTTAAACAGAACTGAAGAGCAATGTTCTTTTTTTACGCCAATTTTGAATGACCTGGATAAATGAAGAACACTCATGTTTAATGATAATATTGGGATTTTAACCCCGTGGTTTCACTGAATTCCAAATGGAATTTAGAAGACATCATGTAGATTCATCTGTACTGGCAAATATTTAAGTGGCTATGAAGCCTACAGGATCTCTTCCTGATTTCAAAGCCCTTATAAAATAAACAAGAATGGCCCTCACTTTCTTGATGATATCTCTTTTCGTGTGCCGAGATATTCAATATAGAAATCACGAAATAATGACGTCAATCGAGGTTCCTTGTAAGAAGACAAATCATCAAATAGAGAATATCTCTGTGAGAATTGGCTCAGAATGACTGAAACGTTTGGTGAACATAGCGCACTACAACCAACATAAGATTCAGATTCTATTTCTTTTGATTTAAAGTGCAACTAACCCCCGATACAATTCTTTCAGTATTGATTCTACATAAAGTGAATAGTTGAATGGTGAAATATTTCTTCATTTGAATGTTGCGTCTTTAAGTTATAAAGGTTTATACTTCCATTACATTGCTGACTGTGACGTCACCCCAGGCTTTGGAGTGTATGTTTTAATTTTTAATACTAAACACTAGCCATTATGAGACATCAGATTTACAATAAACATTGTGGAAACCTTAAGTATAATAATGATTCTTTTTAAAAACTATTTGTATGAACCAGTCAAAATTTGTATATTTAATGAAGCCTGGGGTGACGTCACAGTCACTAACATATTGGAAGTATAAACCTTCATAACTTAAAGACGCAACATTCAAATGAAGAAATATTTCACCATTCAACTATTCACTTTATGTAGAATCAATGTTAAAAGTATTGTATCGGGGGTTAGGAACACTTTAACTATAATTTTGATACAAGATGAATCAAAATTCGCTATCTTGGATTTATAAAGCTGCAGTCTTTGCGGTGATCAAGACTCCAGTACAGTTGAGTCGAAATTTCAATAAATTGCCTTCAAATACAGTGCGCGGTGTCTCAAAAATTCATTTTTGTTTTAATTTACAAAAACTTGTTTCTATTTTATTTGTCTCCGTCACAAAGTCAGTCATAAATGGTTGAAAACCAAATCAGCTGGTAGCCAATCACTATGGACCCTTGCTWTAGCTAAATCCTCCATATAGCATGTAGAACGACCAATGCTTCTTGAAGAGTTCAGCTTGAGGTTGAATTATTTTCAAAGAGATTCCCGTTGAGACATAATGACTATTCGGTCGTCCAACAAGTAGCCATCACAACGTTCAAATATGAAACAAACCTTAAATTTGTTGCAAAAAAACGTAAAAAATCTTATGCAAAATATATGCATCATTGCATAATAATGGTCGTAAAACATCTTTTAGAATAACAAGACAGATGGAACTGGCTTTCCAAACTTCACCTACAAAACCGCCATTTTGCCTGCCACAAAAAAGGCTCATCGCATAGCATTTCATTGTTTCCGGTGCGCAGTGTATTTTGGCTGACTAGGATTCTTTAAAGTTCACTTCAAGGCATTGAATTTTTACCATACCAAATAACAGTGTATGCCATCCATAACAGTTGATGCCATTCCTACCCATCCACTGTTATCTTGGTAAGACRAGGACCTTTTACCATACCAGATAACAGTGGGATCCATTTGTCAGCTGTGCCCTGACTTAGATGAGCCAAGAGGTTGTTTCGGGGTAACTCACTACCATTCGGTTATCTTTAATTACGCCTTATTTTGTTTGTATTCCCAGATATGAGTTTGAGAAACCTTACCAACATTTCAACACCCGTAAACTACAACCAGACCACAAATGCGACATTTAGTTTCAAAAAGGTATATTTTACTCCCGAACTTACGCCGGCGTTGAAGGCAGTGTCGATAACAATAATATTGCTGACTGGAATCTCGGGAATGATAGCCAACTCTATGGTCTTCTATCTTGAACGAAAGAGAAAGAAAAAGTCAAAAAGATCTGGTCCTAGGCCTCTTGAACGATCCATGTCCATGTACTTTATCAAAAGCTTGGCCTTGTCCGATTTGCTGTCATGCATCATCCACACTCCTATGGGCTGTATCTGGATACTCGATGGATCAATCAAAACTGACCTTGAATGCCAGCTGCATAGAGTAGCACTGATGAGTTTATCCAGTATCACTATCCTGAACGTTACATTCATCGCAATTGAACGATATCTCGCAGTCTTTTACCCGCTGAGGGCTCCTTCAGTAGCCGTGTCTAAAGTCTGTGTCGTTCTCGCATGGGTTATTGGAACGATTGTTGGTGTCGCCCACATTCTCCCGTACAAAGCCGTCACCTTCGACATTGGTCAATATGCATACACAGTTATCTGCGTTTCCTACGCTGAGAAAGAGATTGCACGAGTTCTAATGACCATCCATACGGTGATTATGTTTATCATCCCGAACGTCATCATGTTGATCTCATCCATCTTGATTAGCAGGTTCCTCAGGAAAAGAAAGCGCCAGGTCGCGGACGGGRTCATTAACGCCACCGAAAAGTCCCAGTCTTGGAGATTCAAGGATACTGGCATGTTCATGAAGATTATTTTTGCCTTTTACATTCCATATACTTTGTTTTTCGTAGTAGGTGTTATGAAAGAGATTGGCCATGTGGAGTTAAACGTCCCCAATGAGTCTATCATACAGCTATCTACTTTCATTTTAGCTTTCACTAACTGTGTTATCAATCCCATTATATATGTTACAGCTTACAAAGACATTAAGAACATGGCGCGTAAGATCTTTACCAGCTCAACTGCCAATACAGAAAGAACTAACCCTTGATTAGAAACAAAAACGGACTACTGCTTGGTTTAGCTCCGAAAAAGGACCGAAAGAAAGTCCTTCGGAGCTTAAAGAATACATTCAGTGCGACTCTTAAGGTGGAACCAAACTGATAAGCCTGATGCGAGATGACGTTTTACACCYGTCTCTTGGCCATAATCCTTTTCACATTGCTTTTGTTCTTTAATTATSACTATTGTTCCTGTATTCTCTAAGGAACCAAAAATTTTAATATGAAAGTTTTAAAAACTATTATGGTATAGAGTCGGGGGTAAAACGTCATCTCGCTTCAGGCTTATTCTTCGCAAAACTAGCGCGTCAATTTAACTGGAATTTTCATATACTGTGCTTGGATTACCCTAGATTCCAACTGTATATTTTATTTTAAGATTTTTTAAATGTTTAGTCTATTACGGCACAAAATTAATTTTAGCTCGTTCAATTAGTTTGGTTCCACCACAAATCGCTTTTGCTCTCGACCAATCAAAATACTTGGAAACGCACGCGTCAACGCACGCTTGTATTTAACGAGTCAAAGCATCGTGATTTATTCCGTCGATTTTTTCTCACCTAAGATTCGTAAAATAGACACTACTTAAAAATAGGGCAAGATATCCTCAACAAGGCCGAGTAATTCAAGCCTGGGGTCGCGCGTTTAGTCTCCATTGAACCGTGGTGTGAGTTGAATTCTTCGTTTGATAGTTTGTCGTACTTTCCATTGCGAGGAGGAATTCTCCAGGTTCTCAGGTTTTCATTTTTATTTTATTTTACTTATGGCCAACTCTTAGGTTATCAATAGCTAGTGGGTCAAAGAAAAGAGACTACAAAATGTATCGCTGAAAAATTATGCGTTAGTGTAGTGGGAGTGTAGTGAGAGAAACATTCGGTTCTGTTGTAATAGTAAATGTAGCGGGTGTGTGTTAGGGTAGTGTGCGTGGTTGTAGTGGGAGTTTAGTGAGAGAAACATTCACTTCTTTTGTAAATAGTAAATGTAGCGGGTGTGTGTGAGGGTAGTGTGCGTGGGTGTAGTGGCAGTGTAGTGAGAGAAACATTCACTTCTGTTGAAAATAGTAAATGTAGCGGGTGTGTGTGAGGATAGTGTGCGTGGTTGTAGTGGGAGTGTAGTGAGAGAAACATTCAGTTCTGTTGTAAATAGTGAATGTAGCGGGTGTGTGTGAGGATAGTGTRTGGGGTTGTAGTGGGAGTGTAGTGAGAGAAACATTCAGTTTTGTTGTAAATAGTGAATGTGGCGGGTGTGTGTGTGGGTAGTGTGAGTGGGTGTAGTGGGTGTAGTGTAGTTCAGTTTTGTTGTAAATAGTGAATGTAGTGGGTGGGTGTGTGGGTAGTGTGCGTGGGTGTAGTGGCAGTGTAGTGAGAGAAACATTCACTTCTGTTGTAAATAGTGAATGTAGTGGGTGTGTGTGTGGGTAGTGGGCGTGGGTGTAGTGGGAGTAACATTCAGTTATGTTGTAAATAGTAAATGTAGCGGGTGTGTGTGGGTAGTGGGCGTGGNCGTGGGTGTAGTGGGAGTAACATTCAGTTATGTTGTAAATAGTAAATGTAGCGGGTGTGTGTGGGTAGTGGGCGTGGGTGTAGTGGGAGTAACATGAATGTGGTGGTAGTGGGTGTGGAGCAAACCTCAAGGGCCGAAGAGATGGGAGTGATGGTAAATACATGTAGATATATATGTATATATTTATATCGCTTAGTGCTTCAAACTCGGGCAACATTCAGTCCCGTTTCCTCAATTTTGTATTTTGTATATAATTCATTTGAAAACATATTGCACGATTATAAACTATCCGATTGATTTGTATTCTTATACTTTACACTGAACAAATTTACTCGATTCTTATTGGACAAAAGGAGTGCAATTAAATCCCAAATCGTAGTCTGGAGTCCCAGTTAAGTTGGTCAGTTTTGTTGATTGTATCATAAACAAAAAATCGCACAATCTTCTCATACAATTCTGATTTATAAATACTCGGGATGTAAAGGCTCGTCCAATTTTGAAAACGTTCAAAACATCACCCGTACCGTATAAATTCCGAATTGTACTCAAGATCGTGCGATTTCCTATACAAATTACGAAATACTTATGTGTATTGTTTATTATCTAAGATGTATTTGCTACGTACACATACATAGTAGTAGTGATACTCTTTCGCATATATAATCAGCTATTATATGTACGACCTGCATATAATATTTACAATCTCATTTATTTAACTCTTACGCATTAAAACATTAAAATACTTGTATACACTGTGTGGACAATTTGCAGATAATTTTTCCCCATCCCCAACAACAGAATGACAACGGTAAAGATTATTGTCAGCGAGTTTTTCTACTTGGGATACGATTAGCGATCAACATCGTAATGTTAACCGTTGTTAAACCAGGCGGTTTACGTATCGGTATAAAATGAAAATTATTTCGTTTCGTAAATGATGAAGCCGAACAATTGCGCACGCTTGACAACCAAACAACAACTAGCAAGATAACATCAAAACTGTTTTGCATCAAAACGTTTTTATAGTTCAAAGCAAAAAAATATTGCTAACCACCTATAGTGAACATCATCCAACATGGCTGCCACTTTTATTCCCTTAGGAATGATTACAAACCACCTATAGTGAACATCRTCCAACATGRCTGCCACTTTTATTCCCTTAGGAATGATTACAAACCACCTATAGTGAACATCRTCCAACATGRCTGCCACTTTTATTCCCTTAGGAATGATTACAAACCACCTATAGTGAACATCATCCAACATGGCTGCCACTTTTATTTGAGTGAACACCATCAAACATGGTTGCAATGTTTTTCTTCCATTGATAAGAATCGTTACGAGACTCGGTTGAACACTTCCCTGTATTTAACATACAGAGTTTTTCCGCACATCCGATTTGATTTTCGATCCGACCGGTCGTAAATACAATACGCGTTTGTCCTTTTTAGAATGAAGGATCCGTATACTGACAATGCATTGGCCGAGATTGTCCCACTAAATTTAAGAATAACTCCGACAGGTGGGAGATAAATAAACTTGCCCGAAGTTGACTCTCTAGGCTCCCGAGGAGTTTTTTTATTCTAGCGAAGCGAAAATTTGGCTAGCGACGAAGTCGCGATAGGTCGTCCGTCGTACCCGAGTCAAGATACACAGAGGGTGGCAGACTTACGAAAGTCTAGTACATACAATACGTGCTTTCCTTTTTTGAAATCGAAGGATTCGTGTCGAGTTCAGTCGTACGATAAATTAATAGTACTTAAATAATGTCGCTCAATTTGGACTTCCAAACGAACAACACTAAACTACTACCACTTGACGTCCTTAGCAAAACAGACATATTTACTATGGCTCATTGTGTCGGTGGATTATTAGTTGCAGTGCGGTGTTACGTGACGGCCTCTCCAATGGATAATAAATCAAATAGAGGATGCGAAGTGACGCTAACTTCATACATCAAAAATTATCTCTCAGACTATCACTTTTTCTAGTCTTAGCGGGATGAATTTATTACCAATTTTTCAAAAGCCTGTTACTTTTGTCGTGCATAATGTCGGCTAAAGCTATAAGGAAGTATCGCAAACAACACTTTCAAACTGGTTTTATTTGTCTAACCTSTTTTCACAATCTGAATGTTTATTCGCAGATGTTGTGGTGATTCAATCAAAACGTAACGCCCACTTCTAGAAGAGATTCCAATGAATATTAAAGGTCTTTACGTCTATACAAAGGCACTTATGCATATTCCATCCGTTGTTAATTTTCGTGCTTTCATTCACGATTTTTATATCATTTAGTTTTATATCCTAACGATGGTTGTGTTCCTTACGCTGTCATGCTAAAGAAGGGGACAGTCGTTCTCTAAAAACTATGCGCTTATTGATATTATTTCCCCCGGCTTTTTGCCGATTAGCCCTCAAAGATTCTCGCGGCTATGAAAAGAGTGAGCAATAAGCCTGAAGCGAGATGACATTTTACCCCCGTCTCTAGACCATAATCCTTTTCACATTGCTTTTGTTCTTTAATTATGACTATTGTTCCTGTATTCTCTAAGGAATCAAAAATTTTAATATGAAAGAATTTTAAAAAACTATTATGGTATAGAGTCGGGGGTAAAACGTCATCTCGTTTCAGGCTTATTGGGCTTCCCATTAGCCTTGCTTGGTTGTCGACTGATACGTTATAAGGAAAGCAATGTCCATAATTGACTGACAAGCTGCCAAGAAAGCGCCCTTCTCCTTAAATGAAACACCCAGCTACGTCAAGAACGTGTCAACAATTTGCTACACACGGGCTCTCTTTTCATGAAAAAAAAGAATCAGTAATCTCAAAAGCTACACTACGTATATATCTATTTATACATTTTTTGAAGGCTATCAATTTCAGTGGCCCAGATTGAAGGTCTTGGGACATTTTCTGGTAGAATTCTCAAGGTAATTTCTCGCTAATAGAGAGAAAACTGTAAAACACAGCATAAAGGTGATAACAATGTCAATAAACACAACAAGGAGAATATTAAATAGCACTTAAAAATTTGCATATTTTGGGGATAGATTTTCGCTCCAGTCGTTACTTGCTCAGTCGTATATCGCTCAGGTTCAGTTCACAAGAAAAGAGACGGAACGAGACGATCAACAGTAACTGCTTGACAAGTTGCAGACATTTCTTCGCTGTACTATCGAATCTCAGCTGAGTAACGTTTGTCCCTTATATTTAAAGGTACGAGTATTATATGTTTATACAGTTTGTAGAACTAAAATGAGTTTTTTGAATGTCTTTTGATGCTTTTTCCAAATCTTAAATGTGACCTTTATTTTTTGTTTTTATTTTTATTTTTTTWAATTTTTGCTACTTAACAAGATTCTAGCACTTTTTAAACGTTTTAACAAACCTGAGACCCGCAGGGGCACGCAATCAGAACAAGCCTTACCACCATGACATCGGCCTATTGGAAGCAATTTTTCCTATCATTAGACCATGGAAAACAAGTTTTAAAATTCTCATTTTGCTTTCAATTCTGAGTAAACTAGCTTATCTGGTTGACAATTTGTGTTCAAGCTGTGACGAAATCCGATATTTAATATTTCAAAAGGCGGAAA